TATTCGATTGATTTACAGTAATATATCCAAACTGAAGCTTCAGTTTACAGACAACAGCCAGAATGACACAAATGATTATCATTATTTGCTGTTGCAAGAAACAGAACAGATATACATGGATTGAATTTATATTAACCTTGGTTTCTCGCATTTTATGTGCAATGTGAACTTATGTGATTTTCCAATTTCTTGGGCAAGTTGGATTGAAAAGCAGAGTTGACAGAGTGTCAGGAATACACAGTGTAGAAAAGGCTAGTGGTGAAGGTCAGGCTTTTTTTTGTAAATAATACAATAGACTTCGGTTTGTTTTTCAGCAAAGCCTCTTGTATCACTTGCTTTATACAGCATGTGTTTAATGGCTGATAATTGTATAATAAAAGAAAAGAGAGACAGGCAGGCAACATCTCTTTAACTGACTGTAAAAAAAATGCCTCATAACTTTACATGAACCTTTAAACTCTGCAATTAAAGCAACTCACAACATTCTTTCCAAGTTCCTCAAAGGGCCTGATCCAGGTCAGTGTGGTGAAGCATGATGGCGAGGAATGTATTGATTCTGGGTAAATAACACTGTCAGAAAAACTGTTTGTTTCTATTTGGTGGTTTACTCTGGCCAAACACACTGGCCTCTGAGTCTGGAAATGGGTGGAATTGCAGGGAGACCCAATGAGACTCGACCAGTGCTGAATTGTGGGTTCTGAGCTGCATAATAGATGGGGACTGTGCCCATAAATTCTCCAAGAGCCAGTAAAAATTTCTGCAAATGCCGCCAGTTTAAAGACTTACTGAGGATGTGTGCTTGTGTATAATATTAGGTATCCGTTCACATAATGTGATGTGGTTTTTTAAAAATGCATCCAGCCTTGCTGATTCATTAAAACGAAGAAAGAAAAATAGAATTAAACAAAGGATTGTTGTTGCAGTGGATTAGACTGGAGGGAAATTATGCATGAAGAAGAAGTTACTGAAAGAAAACAGAATTCAGCCTGCCTGCTGCCTATTAACCAATGAATGACTTAAATGAACACACATTGCTAAAAATACACTGCTGAAGAATACAGCTATCCACCCAGTGCTAAAAATGTAGCCAGACATGGATCTGTTTGTGCTCTGAATGCTCCATTTTTATAGTACTGTCCACTGTTTGTATCCAAACAACCCACAGCAGTGGTGTTACAGAATACATCATTGAATTGCCTCAGTAAATGGCTCTTTACATGGACATCAGTAATCAAATTATTGGCCTTAATCTGAAGAGGACAAAAATATGATTAAGGTGTTTACATAATTGAGTTTTACATGTTATAGCACATAGATTGATTAACGTCATTGTCACCGCACTATCCACGTTTCCTTCGGAGTTTTATGCAATTTCTGGTGTTTAATGTTTAATTTGCTGTTTGGCACTTTCACTTTCATTCAGGAACATTTCATGCATGCCCCCCTGATATTGGATGCGAGTATGAACTGTTGGACGTGTTGTTTGAAGGGTATTTGATAGTGCACGCCGTATGGAAAAAAAAGCCTCTGCATTTAGCGGTGCTGTTGTCTGTGGTCCTTCACTGACTCGGTAGGTGCAGAGAATAGTGTCAAACAGCTGTTTGTGTATAGACTATCCTGTTGCAAAATGTGACCAACATGACGGTAATAGTGTGATTGCGGTGATTACATGTCTGTACCGCATTTCAATAATGCGACTATAAAATCGTCATACTCCAAATGCATTAATTTGATTTCTAATTAGTCCGATTATGACCTTAATTGGATTAAATTAGTCAAAAAAGTTTACATGGTAGACTCCTAATCAGAGTATTGTCTTAATCATATTAAAATTAAATTATTGTTGTCCATGTAAACGTACTCACACTCAAAAAAAAAAAATGTTTGTTGTTTGTTTAAACTTCTTATTTAAAATGAGCTAAAACACTGCATTTTTTTTGGGACAACTTAATTGTTTTATGTTCAATCTACTCTATAAGTAAGATTTTATTTTGCGCTATCATAACACAAATCCACCAGCATTTTATTTTACAGTGCATAAAGACTACTTCTGTTCTTGGATGAATCAGCGTGCTTACTCAAAAATAAAAATGTACTCATTATTTGCTCACCCACAAGTGGTGACCTTTATGAGTTTTCCTTTCCTGTTGAACTCAAAATAATATATTTTGAAGAAAGTTAAAACACCAGTTATTGATATCCATAGTAGAAAATAAACACACTGTATAATTCAAAGTTTAAAAACATTTTTCGAAATTCCTTATTTGTGTATAACAGAAAACAGAAAATCAAACATGTTTGGGGGTAAAAGATGACATAAGTGTCTTCTTTTGGGTGAACAATTCTTTATTTATAAACTAAAAATGTATTCATTGAAAATTTGTATACAATTTTTTTTAGAAGTCTTATTTTTTACTATTACAAAGATATACCACTATTTTTTTTAAATATATCCACGCCTTTAGAAAAACAATAGTTTTTCTTTGGCTTAGTCCCTTATTTATCAGGGGTCGCCATAGTGGAATGAACCACCAACTATTCTGGCACATGTTTTACACAGCGGATGCCCTTCCAGCCGCAACCCAGTACTGGGAAACACACTCATACACTATGGCCGAAAAGGTTTATTCAGTTTGCCTCTAGCGCATATCTTTGGACTGTGGAAGAAACCGAAGCACCCGGAGGAAACCCACACCAACATGGGGAGAACATGCAGAATCCACACAGAAATGCCAACTGGCCTAGCCAGAACTCGAACCAGCAACCTTCTTGCTGTGAGGCAACAGTGCTAACAACTGAGCCTCCAAGAAGAACATTTTATCCAAAAAATTAAATGCACAGATAAATTAAATCTTAGGTGATAATCTGCATGATAAAGGAACAAAAGATCTTTAGAGACAAGTTGAAGATATGTGGAAACAATACATTTTTCTGACTTTTTCTCCACTTTTACCAATTAATTGTTTCAGGTGCTCTACTAAAAAAAGCGCACACACACATACACGCACATACAAATCGACAATCAAGAGTTCTGGATAGTTTTGGGTGCTGAAAGACAGAATTAGTATTCCCAAAACCAATGATGAGAAGAAACGGCATTATTTCCTTTAAAGTCAATTCAAGGGGATGAATGAGCAGATAAAGTGATGACAGCAGTAAGAGGGATAGAGAGAGACAAATTTAAGGGAAAACAGATCTCGGAGACAGATGAGGAAATGTCTTCTGGAAATTGAGGGTTTATGCAAAAACAGATTAAAAAGTAAGTACAGTAAAAGGAAAGAACAGAATGAGAAAGATGATTCTTCTGCAATCATCACGTCCATTAAGATAATCAATGTAAACATACTCTTGAACCCTGAATCGCCACGGACCCTTTTCCCTCCAGCTTTCAAACACAATCAGTCCCTGTATAAACAGCAGCGAACAATGAGTCTTAATTGGCTGTGACATCATATTTCCTGCCTTAAAAATTCACTTGCTGACAAGAGGCTCAGCAGAATCTGACGAGGTAAAGGCACCAACACAAATATGTGGTTTATTTAAAAAGATAGCTCCTTTGTGTTTCAGTGGCGTCAGATGCTGTATATTTTTTACTGAACTATAACTATAATGAGCAACGTTCATTAATGTTTGATAAAGGTTATTTTTGCCACTCACGGTTACATGAAGAAACCTTTTTTAATCTATGGCTTCGTTTTTGAGGAAATGTATTCTTTAGATGTTTCAAATGTTTCTCAAACAAAGAAATGATTTGTTTTAAAAATGTTTTTTTTTTTTTTTTTTTTTTTTTTTAAGAAACCAAAATCATTGTACAATTCCCTGTTTGGAACCTTTATTTGGGACTTTTTTTATATATATTTGGGAATATATTATATTATATTATAATATAATATATTATATTATATTATATTATATTATATTATATTATATTATATTACATTATATTATATTATATTATATTATATTATATTATATTATATTATATTATATTATATTATTAATAATATTATATAATATTTTTATATTTTGCATATTGTATATTTATACAGTAATATATTTTTTGTAAATATTACTAGTCAAATGGTTAAATGCATGCCAGCCATTATTGCTTAGAATACGTCAAAAGCATCCAAACACATTCCAATGGAAGAAACCCGGTGCAATAAGACACAATACGGCCCAAGACGTGTTTGGTTCGATTTGTTGTTATTTTCAGACCATCGCAATCCTAATTTTCGCATTTTGCACCACGTTGTTTAAATAGCACATCCATTTCTGCCACTTTGTGGGCCCATGGGTGTTCTGGTTTAAAATAGGCGTATGCAAGGCGCATTGTTGGCGTGTTGCTATTTTGAAAAACTGAAATAGACCGCACCACTGACCACCTAAAAGCAGGTCTAAAGTCCAGCGCAATGCTTACACATTGCTAAATACACACAGGATGTACAGCAATACACAAATATCTTTACATATGAAAAAAATAAAGGATTAAAATGTTACAAATTTATCATTTTCTACATAAATATAAAAACCACTGCCTCCATGCCTCATATCGGGGAGCTTTTTCAGTTTATTCATGACAATTTGCATTTGTATAATGTTATAATTATTAGCAGTGTTATTTATTATTTGCAGCTTTATATTTGTTTAAATAAAAACAAGTTTAGATTTGTCCAACTGTCAGGTTTTGAGACATATGTGTCACTATATGGGGCATAAGAATAGGACGTGTGTTTGGAGAGATCTAGATCATTAAAATAGAGCCTTAAATGTATATTACACATTTACTGTTTTGATGCTTGAAAACCTTTTCACCCATGACCCATAAGCTGTTTCACTGTTCTTGGACATGCTCCAAAGACACTAATAATAATTTGCCATTACTTTTTATGAAAAGATGATGTTTGCAAGAAGTCTCAACAGACCAGTGTGTACACATACACACACAACACTGCAAATGGGCATAATGAGTGTTAAGAACAAATCGTTGAGTTGCTCACCATTCTGAATGTCTTTCATATCTAAATGAAGACTGGACATCAGAATCCCCACCGCTTGAGAACGTTTGTTACTCAGAAGCTTGACTACCTAAAGAGAAAGAAAGAGGGCATATTTTGTGACTGCAGTAAACATACAGTTATTTAAAAGCAAGAGTTTACCCTGAATATTATTGCTGGTGACAAAAATACATAAACACAGTACTTCATCTGGCTGCCCTCATAAATTGAATAGCATGCAGAGGTACTTTGGCCTAATAAGGAAGCCAAAAACAAAGCCAAAGTATGTGTATTTATGACTGTTTCCTCATATGGTATTATGGAGAGGTCTCCTTCTCTCATTCTTTCATGCATAGCATCCACATATATCAAAATAACTTTACTTTCACCAATTTCTGGCACTGCAAAAGAACACCACAGTCATTATGCAAATGACAGACCTGTCTGGTTGAATTAAACCGGGTTGGATTATTACGCTTTCTGACAGCCTCTTCAAATCTGGCATTCCTAAACAAGTCTGAGTTGTCTTTGGATTCAAAGTATGTCTTACATACTCTGTATATATTTTCACTAATATGTTTTTTAAAAGCAAAACAATCCTCAAGCTTTGCCCTCTACTTGTTCTATGTAGGTGAGTACCATCAGGCTATTCTCATTCATATTCAGTATTGATCTTTATTCATCACCTATAATTAAGGGTGCGTGTCCACTGAAGCGTTTTTGTGCTCCAGAAATGTGAGTGCTGTTCTAAAAACATCTGTGAGCACTTCTCAAGCTATCAGACCATTTAAAAACACTCAGCACTGAGCGTAAAATGCATGCTCAGTGCCTGGAAACGCTGCTGGCATTTTAAAAATGTGGCACTTCCATTGACAATAACAAAAAAAAAAAAAAAAAACTAAAACTAAAACTAATGTAGTGTTTCTGCAGTGCAAAAATGCATTGAATACCTACATTCAGCTTTTGTTAAATCTTGTCTGCATGACAGCCAATTTGAATGTTATCATTCGATTGCATGGGCGTTATCATTGGTTATCAGCTGATTTATACGGGCCAGTAGGGGCCTTCTGCACCTACTGGTATGCTCAGAAGTATGTTATTATCCATCCACATGGTTAATCAGTTCTAGATCACATATGATTGTGGACGGAAGTTAATAACAATTATTTATATTATTTATTAAATTTCCCATTAATATTATTTTATTAACGTCTAACCCTACCCTAAATCCAACTGTCACATTATGTAAAAACAGATCTGGATCTGGAGTTCTCTATTAGTACAGCTGATTAACCATGTGGATAGATGATAACAGCATCCTGAGCCTACCAGTAGGCGCAGAGGGCCCCTTCTGGCCCATTTCTATCAGCTGATAACCACTGATAATTCCATTTAGTCAAGTGATGGCATTCAAAGCGGGTGCAGTATGACATGGAATGTTTGAAGCTGTTTCTACATTATGATGCTAAATGTTAGATTGTGATACTGTAAGCCAACATTGCTTGACATTGCAGCCCACCATTATTAATGTAAAATGTATTCAAACAAACAAACAAACATCTATTCTTTTGAAAAGTGACATTGATGTATTTAACTAATGCTTGACTGCTGTTTCTGAGCTGAATAGTGTGTAAACCAACAACAGTACACTGACACACACAGCTCTGCAAATAAAGAATGATGATCTGATTCTAAACACGAGTGAACTGATTTGGAGTTTGATGACAATAACCAAACCAAACAAACACAAATTACACATAAAAGTTACTTGCACATTTTAGACAAAGTGTAGGTACAGCTACATTTTTAAATGCAATTTTAATATGAACATGGCTTTGTACTCACTGAGGAAGTAAAAAAGTCTTGCGAAAAATATTTGCACATACAAGCAAGTATTTACAGTGGTCCCTCGTTATTCGCAGGAGTTAAGTTCTAAAAATAACGTGCAATGGGTGAAATCTGTAAAGAAGTCATCTTTATTTTTAACAATTATTATAGATGTTTTAAGGCTGTAACCCTCACTGCACACTGTACACTTTTCTCAAACAGGCATTAATTCAGTTCAACTTTTTGTGCAACGGTTAGAACAGGGATGGGCAAACTTGATCCTCAAGGGCCGGTGTCCCTGCAGAGTTTTGTTTCAACACTAGTCAAACACACCTGAACAAACTAATCAGTGTCTTCAAGATCACTTGAACTCTATAGGGAGGTCTGTTTGAATAGGGTTGGAGCTAAACTATGCAGGACACTAGCCCTCCAGGATCAAGTTTGCCCACACCTGGGTTAGAATCTACCTCTGCTCTTTGGGTGCTACCACTGGTGCCTTTGATGGTGCAGTATGTTTCGTTGACATTGTGGGGAGAAAACTTGCAAATATACAGTACAGCACCTCAGAGTCACAATGCTAGCGATTAAAGATTTATGTCAATTTGACACGCTGAATGCATTCTGTACTGTATAGGAGACACGGCACAAAGGAAATCGATTTACAATGGTCTACAGGCAGTCAGGACACAGAACACAATACACTGTAGAAAAAAAGCATGTCAAATTGCACAAAAAAATATTGGCGAAACTGCGAGGCCGCAAAAAGTTAACCGCGTTATAGTGACGGACCACTGTATTTACTCTTTCTGGGACATTTCCTTCATATTTAAAACTAATACATTTCGCTGTTGCCTCTTCTCATGCTGGGATTCTGTGTAAAGGTACCTGTGAGCCTCTACATCTGAACACTGAGCAGACTACATAGCAGTATTGCTTCATTGATAAAATGCAGAGAAACAAAAGGAACCATTATTAGCCACTTTGCTATCTGTTTACAAAAACGGGGTGCAAGGAGAATGGAGTCCATAGTTTGCTTAGAGTCGGGCATATGTAAAGGTGTATCTGGTAATGCAGGGCTTCTCAAAGTTTTGGCTCCGGCCTATATGTGGACAGTGAGGGTATTTAATATGGACTAGACTCCATTTTGTATTACAAGACAAGGACTCAAATTGTAGATTTATTTTATTGATAAATGCATAAACCTTATAAAACAGTTGTTTAGTTGTTAAAAAAAAAGAAAAAAAAGAAAATAGGCCGAAATAAAATCGAAGGGAAAATATTTAATGTTTTCCTGCGTGATTGTTGTCATGATATATAGAAATGATAAGTGGCTTCACGTGATCGAGCGGGCTAATTTTTGTTTAACACACCACAGCAAAGCAATTATTTGAATAGATCAAGATGTCGGTTTCAAGGAAAAGAAAACTTAATGAAGAGAATAGATAGTTCAAAGTTGAATGGACAGATAAGTATAAGTATGTTTTTATTTTTCCACAAGCCAGCACAAAGCCATTCTGGCGTGCGTTTCCCAAACAACGACATAACTCGTGGCTGAACTATCATAGTACGATGCATCGTTTGGGGAAAAAAACGATGTAGTGACGAGTGTTTCCCAAAACCCGTAGTTTCTCTGTTGCAGATCCATGGCTTGAACCACGTTAGTTATAACCAGGGCATGACATTAACTTTTTTGATCACCAGCCACTGTGGCTAGTAGATTTCCAACTTTACTAGCCACTCGCCATTTTCACTAGCCACACTTTTCTTGTTGGGAAAATATGTTTTATATGCATACATTTGACTCTGACATGCTAAAATGACTTGATTGTGTTGTGTCCACATGCCTTCTCATTCAATTAACGTCTTGTGTGTGTTGTGTATTAGCTGGCTCAGTGTGCATGAGCAAATGAGTTGTGTCCCAATACAATCAGTTTTTATTTTAAAATGACTTTTCAGGGCTCAAAATTAAGGATTTATCAAATTTATCTCTGAACACACCAAATAAGTATTTCTTAGCCAAAAATTTTTTATGTTTTAAAACAAGGAAAATATAGCTTTATAGGTTCACTTTTTAATTCAACAAAACTTTTCTTTAAAAAACATTACATTTAAAAAATAATTATTGTCATAAATCTAAAATAAGCACAGTAATCCGTTCTTGCCAAAAGTCCCAGATCACAAGTTAACTACACATACACGGGGTAATCTCCCATTAAAGCAATGTTATTGTAAAAAATATATATACTTAAACCATATTAACAAAAATAACTGTAAGCGAAAGAAAGCAGGTGAAACATACCGTGTTTGATAATGAAAGGATGATCACGTGCACATGGTTAATTTAGGCCTTTTAATAATCTGTTCAATGAAAGCAGTGACCACTGCTTCTTACAAAAGAATGTGTATTTTTTTATCTTGAGCTCTCGAAAGCAGCACGACTGTCTGTGGGTGCGCGATCATCGCTCTTTGTCCAGTCTATTTCAAAGGGAACAGATCGCAACAGTTGCGCTTCTTCTAGGCATGGTTGCTTTGCCTAAGTAAACAGTCGCGAGCATCACATCACATCACCTACTGTATGTACGTGAGTGATCATCCTCTCGTTCGGTATTTACCTTCTTTTTTGCTGTCCTGCTCGCGCGAACATAGTTATTTTTGTCAGTCGTGCTGCTTATCGATTCTAAGATCACATTTGCACGAATATTGGGCCATGCTTATTGTCGAACCCTGCTTTTAAGAAAACTACACTTTGTAGCAGATTTCCAACCAGCCAAAGTGGCTAGTGGAGGTGTCTGTCTAACCCGCAAGAGCTGAAATCTACCTGCATTTGGCAGGTGTTAATGTAAAGCCTTGCTATTGGGTCTATTTTTTGCTGTGTTTTGTACAAAAACACACCTATATTAGTAGTTTTGCCACATTTAAACTGTTTTTAATTTGTTTTTAATGCAAATGCCACTTTATTTAAAAAAAAATAGCGTTCACTCATGAAGCATGATATGGATGTTTCTTAAAAACAAGTTTTATTTGTAATAAACATGTATAAACTGGCGTTTCAAACTGGTCAATTATGGCATATAAACACATTTAGACAGTTCATAAAAAACAAGCTGCATCTTGTCAACTCATCTGAGCTGGCAGACACAACACAAACCTAACTAAACAAATAAAGCTACAAAAGAGAAAATTTAATTCCAATGTCACCTTTAAAACAATTAAGACATACTGTATTGTCTGTTGACCCAAGTGCTGTCTCACTTACTTTGTATG